TGCGCTGGAGCGGCCACCTGGTGCGCATGGACGACGAGCGACTACCCAAACGACTCTTCTACGGAGACGTCGCGACGGGTTCTCGCCGTCAAGGAGGCCAGATTCGCCGTTACAAGGATACCCTGAAGTCCTCCCTGAAACACCTGCAAATCAACCCCACCAACTGGGAGGAACTCGCACTCGATCGACCGACCTGGAGGAGGACAGTGAAGACAGGCGCTGCGATCTACGAAACCAACCGCATCGCTGCCGCCAAAGCGAAACGCGAAGCCCGCAAGTCACAACTTCGCCCAGTACGTAACGCCGCCGCACAACCGCTTCCAACGTGTCCTCGATGTCAACGGACATTCCGGGCTCGAATCGGACTTGTTGGACATCTTCGGATTAACTGTGCCTCTCCAACTGCACCAACCATCGTCCCCCCGCCCGCCTCTTCCTCCTCCTCTCTGCCGCCAACTAACTCTGACAATTCTTCTGACCCACCACTTCCATCCTCCTCCTCCTCCTTCTTCTCCTCCTCCTCCTCCTCCTCCTCCTCCTCCACTGCTCCAACGACGGCCGCTCAGGCGACTGTCCCGCGCGCAACAACTGACATCACCACCACCTCCCCCGACTCCAGGGATGAGGATTAGGACTACACCTGCCCTCACTGCGACCGCACCTTCACCTCACGCATCGGCCTGGTCGGTCACTTACGAATCCATCGCACAGAGACTGACGAACCAGTGCCTGAAGCACCAACCTACACCCGCCGCACTCGCCTCCACTGCCCACACTGCCCTCGCACCTTCAGGCATCGCGTGGGCCTTTTCGGCCACATGCGCATCCACGAGAGCGGCCTTGACCGCAATCCCGACACACCCACCACGTCCAACACATCCACCGTGCACACCCCCACCCTCGCTCCATCCGTCTGCGCCACCACCACCACCGCCTCCTCTGTGGCTGACACTGACACCGCCGACTTCTCATGCCCACACTGTCCACGCACATTCACCTCACGCATCGGCCTGGTCGGTCACTTGCGAATCCATCGCACAGAGACTGGCGAACCAGTGCCTGGAGCCCCCACCTATACCCACCAAGCTCGTCTCAACTGCCCACACTGCCCTCGCACTTTCAGGCATCGCATGGGCCTATTCGGCCAAATACGCATCCACGACGACCTGCGGTAGACAACCGCCGGTCACACCACACATTCACTCCCTACCTCCTCCTCCTCCACCACCATCACCGACCAGAAATCAACACTCACACCTCATGCACCCAACTGCCACCTCCCACGCAAGTGGGAAGTCCGCATCTCGACTCGGTCTCCATGCTGCTTCGGCTGCACGGGTGACTTGAGTCCGAGACTATCCCGACACGTCAAGCGTCGTGGATAGGAAGGTTGCTGATTGACGCCTGCTCTCGGTTCACGCAGTTCGTCGCGTTGTGTGTGTGTGTGTGTGTGTGTGTGTTGTGTGGAGTGGCGGACTGGTGGGCTGGGGACGGCCTGAAACAGCACCTTCCACGGCACTCTCACGCAAGTGAGAGGCACGCCGTTCAACCCCGGTTGTGTGAAATCCTGGTTTTGTGTGTATGGGGGGCCAGGTCGTGCCGTGGCGCGCGCAGTCATGGTCAGTCGACCATAACAGCCACCGCGCCCATTCCCCACTCCAGTCTGCTGACCGGCTCGGACAGCGGCTGGGGTGTGGGAGTGGGAAGGGAGAGTGAGGTCGACGACTCAGCGCACTTTCTCCTCACTATAAACAATCTGACACGCTTGAAGCTATCACGGTGCGCTAAAAGCCGTGGCTTGGAGGGTTGCCAACTGACGGGGTAACTTGGGCCTCCTCCTTGACTGGTGGCGGTCTGAGAGTCAGGCTGCAACAGCTCCCTTTTAATGTGGCCTTTATGGCACTCCCATCACAGTGTGGGATCCGAGCCAGGCGTTGGCGGCACGCCCAGGTGCGGCTTCGGCCATGCCAGCCTTCAAATCTCTCTTGTGTTGGTTGAAATCCTGATCATTTGTTTTGTGGACCAGGGGGTGTGGTGAAACACCAAGGCGAGGATCCGTCCGAGCCATCCACCTGCGGCCTCCCTCGTCTCCGGTCTTCTTGACTCTGTCTTGACACCGGGCTTGGGCTAGGGAGGAGGAGAGAGTGTAGGTAGATGCAGCGCAAGTCTACCCGCACTATAAACCCCTGCGCAAGTCACCGTCCCTGCTCCCATTGCTGCTGCAACTGTGGGGCACACGGTGGACATCATCGAAACCGATGGTCGAACTGTCATTTGGGTGTGTGGGCTGGCAAATGAGAATACCCCGAAAACGAGCTACGCGATAAGTACACTGGACCAACATGGAGGCTAGATCGGAGCCCGGCAGGCGTTACCGGGAATCAAAAGAAAATGAGGCGTTCATCGGGAGGGGTTTATTAGGGGTCTGACATTTCGAGCGGTCACGGGCAGAGCCGCTTTTTGTAATGACATCCGCTGTGCATAATCGACATGGGAAAAGAAGAGGAGACATTCACCGGGAGAGGTTTATTAGCGGTCTGACGTTTCAAGTAGTTGATTCGTCTACCCATCTTCAGAGACTAGGAGGTTATGCGTCCAGTTCTCCTTATATGGCGCACTTTGTTTAATGCGTGGCCCGCCAATGGCGCCTGTGTGCCTACATCCGACCCGCATGTCACCGTGACCTGAATCGCCCCCGTCCTCGTCAGCCGCGGAGATAGTTGACGGCCCTGATTGTCCCGCGCCGTGACTGTCCCTCGTTAAGTAGGTTCGTAAAGTCAAATAGGGGGGAGGCAAATTGATGTGGCGGTTGACAGACCAGTCGGTGAACGTCCAGGCTTCTTGCACCTGCCTTGACGTATGATCATCACCTCCGCCCATAATCTCAATGGCCTTAGAGTTGAAGGTGTGTCCGATTTGCGCGGAATGGGTTTATACCTCTGACTTTGGGTCCAGTCTTCGCACGGCCAACTTATGTTCGTGCATTCGCTTTTGTAGCCGTTGGCCGGTCTCCCCAACGTAGTTTCACTTCCCGCAGCTGCCTTGAAGTCGGTAGACAACAGTCGACATCTCCTCCTTAGGGATCAGGTCTTTAGACCGCATCACTTGTCGGCGGATTGTTGAGTCGGGCCTGTGGGTAAGGCCTATTCCGAGCGGCGCGGGGGATCTAACCACAGCTTCGGAAACACTTTTTAGGTACGGAATGCTCCTCCACGATTTTGGCCATGTTTTTCATTCCGCTTTATTGGTTGCCTTCGGCTCCGTACAAAGAATGCTCAAGGATAGACGTTGACTTTGGACAGTTATTGAAGGAGCTTCATCTCGTCCAGTTTGGCGGCTAGCGTGCCGCAATGAGTTTCCACCCGTTGGCATAGCGTGCGTACACTGCTTCGTTTGTGCTGCCGTGGGTGGCTGCTGTTGTAACTAAGCATTTGCAGCGTGTTCGTCCGTTTTATGTAGACCGACGTCGCCACTTTGCTGTATGGCTGGCGACAGACGAGAATATCCAAGAATGGAAGTTTGCTCTCCACTTTCTTGTCCATCGTGAGCTGTAGATTGAGCTCAGCAGCTTTTCATAGTAGTAGATTTTATCCTGATCGAGGATTACAAAGGTATCATCGGCCCAAATGTGATTAAACTCGCGTCGTCCAGCGGGGCCTCGTAGCTCAGGTGGTTGGAGCGTTGGCTGCGCTAAAGCCTTCCCCTTACTGCGTGGGTTCGAATCCCACCGAGGCGCCGAGTTTTTCACAGTTAGGTCAATATGAAAGGTAACATCAACGTAGCGCACCCAAAATTAGGGTTTGTACCCCTCGAACAGAACCGCTTCAGCAATGAGTCCGGAGATTGGTAAACCCGTCGGAGTGCCCTTAATTTGCTCCTATGTGATCCCTTCGGAGGTAGAAAATGCCTTGTGGCAATGCCCCATGAGTTCTATGAGATCTTGAACTGTGGGCTGGCCATCGCCCTCATCATAATTTTGTGGTAGCACGTCACTGAGCGTCTCGACCGCAAGGGCCTGTGGTATGAACGTGAAGAGTGAGACGACATCAAATAACACCATCCTCTCATTCGGTTCGATCGTGACCACCTTACTTTGTCAAGGAACTGTTCTGATGAGTGCACTATTGTTTGTGAGCGTGCGAATCTTAGCTTCTGAAATAGCCAATTTTCGGGATTGTATGCGGGTGTGCTTCGGAGTGGCACGATTGGTCGGAGGGGAAAATCTGGCTTGTGTACCTTTGGAAGACCGTAGAATCGCGCCATCGCTGTTTATGTGGGCTTTTCCATATACCAGTCTTCGACGATGATGACCTTTTCCTTCAACGATCGGGAGTCCTACAAAGTCAGCGACGCCACCAGTCTAAAGTCCCCACTGACGAAGGTTAACAGGATTTTAGCTTAATTAAAGAACCTTCGCAGGCACAAGATCAGGCGGAGTGACTGATGTATCAGGAAAGTCTCAACCCAAGCATCCCACACGCATGCAGGTCCTCCACTTTGCAGAACCAGTATTACTTAATTTACACGTATTTCTATAAGTGTGACGGGCGCCTTCCCAGATATATATCATGCCTGACATAACGACGTTGGAGAATTCTATCTTATGACTGTTACATGAGTGAGATATGATATTGTGTTAATTGATAGTGTGTATACGCGTGTGACTAAATAGGCTTATGAGGCGTCTTAATGTTCGCGGACAAAGCGGACGAATAAGAAGCGCGTAGCGGTAAGAAGTGGAGGTTCCAGGAGCATATCTGTTCCTTGCACTGGGATGGATTCGAAAGTGGCCAACTGAACTAATATGTAATTCGAATGCTCGTTCTTAATGGGGGCAAGCGGAAACTCTATCCGCAATTTTTCTGTGGGTGGTGACAGCGTTAGACCTGTGTGGTTTGGTAGGATCGGTTCATTTTGGGGATGTTGGTGACGCCGTCTTGTGATCTAGAAGTTAGGTTGAGAATGGTACTGAGACTGTATCAGATCCGCAGACGTTCAACGAAATGTTTGAAGAGGAGCACGCCATTTATCTGAACGATATAGTTGTTACATCGCAGTTACATGTGCTTCAGCAAAACGTAGATGGCGAATGCGTTGGTTTGTTCATGACCGTAGCGTCCTAGATACTTTCTGGTCACTTCAACCATAGTAGTTTCAGTAGATAGCCTCGATGAAAGTGGCTTAGTTCTTTTATCCGGCTTCCGTATCCTATCCTACCCCTAGAAGTGGGTTGTCAGGATAACAATTCTGCACATCCCCAGTTTTGTGTTGAGGAATGTTACAGCTGTTCTATACTGCGAGTGGAAGCCTACCGAGAGCCGGTTTTCTTTGCAGATCCAACGATAATTTAGCAGTTGATGGTTGTCTACGGATATGAAGAAGTTTCGTCTACGTTTTCCACAGGTTTATTATTGTCCGCAGGTGGTTCGGCGACTACATGTCCTAAAATTATGTAGCTGGAGTTAGAGAAACCTACAGTCTACCA